GGGAGGGAAAGTGGAGGTGGTCTTTTAAGGTCCCTTTCAAGACAACAACCACACAGAAGATTCTCCCTACTTTTTGCCTCCTCTTCTGCTCTTCTGCTCCCTGAATCTGAGGCTGCTCCAGGCTTCTTTCCAAGGGAACAACGCCAATTTTAAGAAGAAGAGAGATCAAAGAGAATTTCACACTGATCAAATGGGAAAAGAGATTTTGCCTCTGAAAGGGGGGGGGGGCGCAGAGAGAGGTTGATGCCAATGGAAGAGAGAGAGGGTCCTCCCCAGGCAGGGAGGGGCTGTGGGCAATCATCAGTGGGGGCTCCTATTTGCAATTCCCCCATTGATCCTAATCTCATCCAGCTGATCCTGGAGGGATGAAGGACCCCAGGGGGGAGGGTACACCTAGGGGAGGGGGGGTCTACATGCAAGAGGAGCTGGAAGAGGAGGACGGATTCCCACCAGAGCAGACCCAAAGGGACTGAATGTGTACAAGAGATCCAGCCATAAAGGAGGAAAGTCCAGTCTGGATCCAGATGCTCACCTGTCCTCAGCAGCGTCTCCTCCCCATAGGACAGGTACTTCTCCAGCCACTCAATGCAGATTTCCTCCAGGTAGTCTTTCCATCTCTGATTATATCCTGGAATAGCGTCCCGTTTCCTCTGGGTGATCTGGGCCTGAGGGTCGGGAGTCACCCAGGTGAGGGTCTCCTTGTCGAAGGTGATGAAGGTCCTCCCTTCGTAGCCATACTGCCAAAATCCTCCTTTGCTCCCGTCTCCTCGGAGCTCACAGCCAGACATCCTTTGCCATGTGTGAAGGCCTGAAAGACAGACAGGAGGATGTTTTGGGGAGTCCTGAAGATAGACAGAGACCCCCGCCCTGAAGTGACCTTGACACAGGCACTGACACCCCCATTTTCTCCCAAGCATTTAAGGGAAAGAAGTCCCCATCAGTAATTGCCCTTTTCCCTTCCCTCGACCAGCATCCCTGCATTTCCCCCCCAGGATGGAGCCCCTGAATCTCCCCAGGAAAAGGGAATCTGGAAAAGCGAGCAGAAGATCCCAAGGGAGATTGAGAAAAGGAGTCGCAAAGAAACGGAAAGACGGAGACCCTTCCGTCTTTCCTTCTGCCATTCCTCCGCAGGGGGAGGAGGAAGGGATCCAAGAGAGGGAACAGTTGCCTGAATCTGCGACTGCAAAAAGGGAATGAGAATCTTGTGCCTCAAAGAGGATCTGCTCGATCTGGAAAAAGCTTGCAGGTATCTCTGTGACCATAAATCATGCTCTGTGTTGACAAATAGCACCAAGTCACAAGGCCTGGTTCCCACTTTGGGCTAACCAGAAGCAAACCATGGTTTAGTACAATGTGGGAATGAAGTCTTGAAGAGCCCCAAAGGAATATTTCCCTCAGCAACAGCAGCAAGTGGCCCAGTCTGATCTGGAGACCCAAAGGGTTATTGACCTTTGAAATGAAGTTTGAAGCTTACAGGCTCTGGAGGGCCCTGGANACAGAAGAATAGAGAATAGAATAGACTAGAATGGAATAGAATAGAATACAGAAGAATAGAGAATAGAATAGACTAGAATGGAATAGAATACAGAAGAAAAGAGAATATAATAGAATACAGAAGAGAATAGAATTCAGAAGAATAGAGAATAGAATAGACTAGAATGGAATAGAATAGAATACAGAAGAATAGAGAATAGAATAGACTAGAATGGAATAGAATACAGAAGAAAAGAGAATAGAATAGAATACAGAAGAAAAAAGAATATAATAGAATACAGAAGAGAAGAGAATACAGAAGAATAGAGAATAGAATAGACTAGAATGGAATAGAATAGAATACAGAAGAATAGAGAATAGAATAGACTAGAATGGAATAGAATACAGAAGAAAAGAGAATAGAATAGAATACAGAAGAAAAAAGAATATAATAGAATACAGAAGAGAAGAGAATACAGAAGAATAGAGAATAGAATAGACTAGAATAGAATAGAATAGAATACAGAAGAAAAGAGAATAGAATAGAATACAGAAGAAAAAATATAATAGAATACAGAAGAGAATAGAATTCAGAAAAATAGAGAATAGAATAGAATAAAATAGAATAGAATTCTTTATTGGCCAAGTGTGATTGGACACAAAAGGAATTTGTCTTTGGTGCAGATGCTCTCAGTGTAGATAAAAGAAAAGATACATTCGTCACAAATCACAAGATACAATATTTAGTGATAGTCATAGTATGGTAAATAAGCAATTAAATCATACTAGGAAACAATATAAATTGTAAGGATACAAGCAACGAAGTTACAGTGATAAGTGGGAGGAGATGGGTGATAGGAATGATGAGAAGATTAATAGTAATAGCAATGCAGACTTAGTTAATAGTTTGACAGTGGTGAGGGAATTATATATGAAGCTTCTTGATCTGTTTTAAGGATCTTAACCCAGAAATGAGCCCGTGGCAATTGTTACTCCCCTCTTTGCTGGTGTGATTGGCCACACGCATGACTAACCGTTATCTACAATTATTCTTCTGCCTGAGTGAAGCCCGTGTGTGTTACTTCCAGTCTTAGAGCGCTGTATGCCTATCCATTAGAGCCGTGCATTAAAATTTCATTTTTTTTTCCCTGCGAGGTCTCTTTCAGTTTAATGGAAGAAATATAGCTTGCAAACGTTGCCTTGAAAGGAAGGGAGAATTTTTCTAGCAGGAGGGGAGTGCCTTGGCACTTACTTAATGATGAAGGGGCCAAGTGTTTTCTTGAGTGTCTAATCTTCCACTATACAATCATCTCTTCAGCAGCTTGCCACTATTCCGCCTCTTGATACTTCAGTTCCTCTCTTGCAGTACACTTTCCTCCATCCCAAGCTGCTTATCGATGCCACGCAATTTATTTATTTTTAACAGTTTGGAAGGAGGTGCAAGGAGGGGTTGTAGTGTGGAAAGGGAGACATTCTGATAATTTAGCAGCAGTAACTTGTTAGGTTGGTGATAGAAATGTGCAGATTAGGCAAGGTTGGTCCACAGTGTTGTGGCCCACCGGCAGCCATCAGACCTGGGCAATGAGGAGGTTGGGGAGGAACATGGGCCAATACTGGGGGCTGAGGGAAGCTCAGACGAGGGCTCTGCGTCACAGGCCGAGAGGGAGCTGGACAGCAATGAGGCAGAGGAACAGTTGGAGCCTGTTCCCAGTGTGCGCATGCGCAGAGCTGCCAGCAGAACAACTAAGAAAGCGGGGTTGATGTGGGAGTAAAGCCACACCTTGGAGGTGATTGCCCCCCCCATTAGGAAACAAAAGAGGAGTGAAGGGGGAGTGGGCTTTTGCAGGAAACAATTCATTCCTTCGGTCGTTTCAAGAGAGGAAAGTTCCGTTTGTGACTTTAAGAGGTTCTGTGCCAAATGTTGCCTTGCCCTGCGTTGGAAACTAGTCATCTGGCAGCGCTCCAAGTGAGATAAGGTCCGTGTTCATAAACATTCCTCTGAAAGACTGTTTGCCAAGCCTTGCAGGCTGTGAATGAAAGGAATTCACAGTCGTGTAAATAAAAAAGGTTTTGCTGGGACCCAGACTCTGCTTCATACTTTTTAAGGAAGCCTAGGTCAGAACACCTAACTTGGCATTTAGAGATTCCGGGAGTGTTGTAAGGGACACATCATTTTGGCGAAGAACATCAAGCTTCTATGAGCATTTACCTTGTTGGATTTTTTTTTTAAATGGAAGACCTTAAAAATGATAGTGTCATTAATGGTCCATGGAGATTGGACAAGGTATTGAATGCAGGTCAGACTTTCCTGGTGTGTGTCCACTGCAGATTCATTGAGACAGAGTCAAATTCCCAGATTCTCTCCCATAACATTCCAGGCAGAATTATTATTATTTTTGTCCCTGGTTAATGATGAGCAGAGGGTTATAGAGTCTACACATGTTCAAGTTGCCAAAGTTGAGAAACACTGGCTTAACATGCTGTCCTGTTCACACAACACAGTGGCTCAGGATCCAAGCCATTTTACGATAAGATTACCTTGTAATTTTAAGATCAATTAATAGAATAGAAATAATAGGATAGGGTAGGATCGGATTGGAAACAGGAATAGAATAGAATAGAATAGAAACAGAACAGTATTGAATAAAATAGAACAGAATAGAAACAGTATTGAATAGAATACAATAAAATGGAATAGAATAGAAAGAACAGTATTGAATAGAATAGAATGGAATAGAAACAGAACAGTATTGAATAAAATAGAATAGAATAGAATGAAATAGAATGGAATAGAAAGAACAATATTGAATAAAATAGAATAGAACAGAATAGAAACAGTATTGAATAGAATACAATAAAATGGAATAGAATAGAAAGAACAGTATTGAATAGAATAGAATGGAATAGAAACAGAACAGTATTGTATAGAAAAGAATAGAATAGAATGAAATAGAATGGAATAGAAAGAACAATATTGAATAAAATAGAATAGAACAGAATAGAAACAGTATTGAATAGAACAGAATAGAATAGAATAGAAACAGAACAGTATTGAACAAAATAGAATAGAACAGAATAGAAACAGTATTGAATAGAACAGAATAGAATAGAATAGAAACAGAACAGTATTGAACAAAATAGAATAGAACAGAATAGAAACAGTATTGAATAGAATAGAATAGAATAGAATAGAAACAGAACAGTATTGAACAAAATAGAATAGAACAGAATAGAAACAGTATTG